AACTAATGACATTTTGCGCATTGAATAAACTGTTTATAACCCAGTTAATTACGTTTTGTTTTGACTTTCCGTCCGCTGGGAGTTTTCCCTTGTACAACCTATAGCAATCTTGATAAAGGGCAATAAAATGTCAACAAGATGACAACAAGGACCAAGGACAAGACAGGCAATCACATCTAACACTAGGAGCTGATACCAAGGCATCTGTTGACCCGGTGACCTCATGTAGTCTCCACCATATTTAATCACATGGTCCAGCCAGTACGCAGCTTCATGTTTGGGAACTTTGTACAACTCCTTATATAGTTTAGAAGCTTTTTTCATATTTTCTGTAAATTTCCCCCCATAAATGATTTCTTTCATCATGGCTGCAAGGTCGTCTGCGCTGTCGTCACGCATGTCAGCATAGAGTCCCAGCTGTTTGACGCGGACTCTTTCTGAGTTGTAACCTTGATCTCCATATATGGGCAGACAGAGAATGGGCACCCCATGGTAGAGGGCCTCATACTGTCCATTCTTGCCACAGTGGGACACAAACAGTTTGGCTTTCTGGTGTCCCAGAAGATCATTCTGGGGGATCCACAAGGAGGTCATGATTCGTTTGGGGTCAGGTGAAGTTATGTTTATCTTCCACACAACTCTAAGATCCAGTTGTTTGAAAGCAGAAACGATCTTGCTAGAGATTTCAGGAGGCAAGTTAACTACAGAACCGCCAAAAGACATGACGATGATACCAGTTGTAGCTTCATCCACAAACTTCTGGAACTCCCCAACCAATGGTTTTGCAGGAGAAGCAGAAGATCCACCAATCAGTTTTGTGTTGGGCAGCATTGTCCGTGGGTAGTCCAGTATGTGGTCAACTTCTGCAATGAAAATCTCAGCATTGGCCGCAATATCATAGATGGACTTGTATGGTTTATGTGGAGCAAACTTTGACACTAAGCTGCTGTCGTGGCATATGTCAAAATTCATAGATACCAGGTAATAGAGTGTAAAGTAAACTCTCTGAAAGAATGTCATTCGATCACTGATAAAGTCAATGAAATATGGCGTGACTGCGGGACTGAATGGGACCTTTGACATGATCGCTTCATGAGCCGTTCCAATAAATGCAAAGGGGATGTCCAGCATATACGGCAGTACCACCATGTTCATGTTGAATGGGACAGACTCCAGGACAATCAGATCCGGCTTCAAATTTCTCACTTTGTCTAGAAACGTTTTGTCAGCAAGAAGAAAATTTACCATTTTTAGCAGTATCCGAGAGACGGGATACATGGCATAAAAACCCTGGTTTGGTTGCCTCTCCCAGAACTTTTCCACAATCCTAGTGCTTTCGTAGACCTGTTTCTCAATGTCTCCCAAATCCTTCCCGTAGGACAAAACGTTGACAGTCTTATCCTTGACCCGGTTTTTAATCAATTGAGCCTCTGGCACACACAGCCACACGTCATGGCCCAGGCTGGCCAGAGCTCCAGCCACATTTGTGTGGTAGACGATGTAACTGGTATGTGGGGGAGGGAAGAATATCACTGTCTTGGTGTGGATGTCTGTCACTGTTGATGCCAGCACAAGGATCACCGCCAGCAGACTTTGTGCATCCATTCTTGGCATCTGTAGACAAGAATGATCAGGTATTATTAACATTTAATTAACGGGTCGTTATCATATGGCTGGAACATGCATTGTTCATACATATCATATTAATACCAAATATTTTATTAAATTTATTTGCGTCAGAAAGAGGGTGCTAAAAATGTTACATAGAACCTGTTCTGCTGTATGGCAGGCAATCTTGGAATGTCAGTGAACAAGTTAAGAAGAATATGGAAGCAACAGAGATGTGGTTTCTGAGACGAATGTTACGAATACTTTTGACGGCCAGAGTAACCAACAACAATTGCTTGAAAGAGGCTAATGAAAGTAGATTTCTATATACAACAATAAGAAAGAGATTAACACTGTTCTTTGGCCACATAATGAGAAGAAAGACATTGGAGAACATTGCGACAAGTGGAAAGATCAATGGAAAAAGGGGTAGAGGCTGGATTGGCTGAAACGATGGCATGGAGGGATATCATCAAGAGAGCTGTTCTAGGCAACCAGTGATCGTGACCTGTGGAGACGCATGGGCGCCTATGCCAGTTGGCAGGGTACATAATCGTGATGATGATTGGCTGTTTTACAAATGAATAATATTATTATTATGAATAGTATTATTTTAACTAATCATTTAGTCAGAGCTTGGGCCTTTTAAAGTCAGTCCCCATCCCCACTGTGTGTTTTGTTGTGTGTGCATCCTGGATCTATTCATAAATTGTTTTGTCCCCTCCAGATTGGGTAAATCATACGTTGGTCCATTCTAAACACCAGCACACACTAGCTCACTTCTGACTGGTCGGCCTTGAGAGATCTGACCTTCACACAAGGTCACGTGGGCGATTCCCAATGGCGCTGATATCGCGTGTTCTATATTTCACCGTGCAGGCACCTCTAACACTACAAAAACATCGAGAAACTGGGTCTAAAACACAACCCCCTAGAGAGTGCTGCAACCTTTGTCACAGGCAGTCTCTTTCTCAGAATAAAAAGGTAAATGCAGGACAACAACAGAGCGCCCCACCCAGTAGAATAATCCAACAAATTTATCAATGGAATGTGACCTACTTTCCGTGAGGAGACTAACGTTTGTTTATCCAGATTGCTAGCTGGAGGTTTTGCACCCTGAGATTATAAATATTAGTCTGGATGGTAGAACAGAAGGGTAGGTCCCAGAAACCATGTTCAACCTACCATTACCATCATCAGCTAATAGGTCGTGTATTTTGTTATGCATGTTTACACGTGCTCTCTAGTATCCTTACACATTGGGGGGGGGGGGGGGGGGGCGAGTGGCTAAAGTCAGCCCACCAACAAAACGTGCACATTATCAGACACGGATTCAGTAAAACACTATAATGCAAAACACAATTATGGAAACACAGTCACCAGGAAAACACACAGAACTCCGAGATGTGCATTAACGATTTTGTCAATCATCTACTTACGGAAATCATTCTACTCCAGACGACTCCGCGTTAGATGCTGCTCCTGAACGTGAGACCGACTGAGACCGCACAACTCTCAGAATCTAAAGAACTTTAGCCCAGTTTCGTTGCTGTTGTGGGGGAAAAAATCACTGCCTGATGTCGCAAGCAGTGTTGCTACTTTGGATGTTTTACATCCAGATTTAGATGTTTCCTTTGCATTTAGATGGCGTTTTTGACGTTTAGATGGTAGATGTGTTTTTTTTCTAGATGTTTTTCATTTGGAGTGAATGTATCAAATCTAACCTAAGAAACAGGATGAAATTGAACGTTTTAAATGCTATCTTGACAATAAAATTCGGCCTGATAAGAGTAGGAAAAGGGTGTTCCACCTATCAGCGCCCTGATTTGATATTAAAAAAATTGGAACAGCTAAAGCATACTAGAGTCATTTTGGATCTGAAGCTTTAATTTCATCATCCAAGCTAAATTTATTCTGTGGATCTTGTAAGGCAGACTTCAGTAAAGATGAGGACACGATTCTATAGGGTAAGTCATACCAATTGCTATGTAATTTGTGACTCTTTCCTTTTGCATGTTTTTTCTAGATGTTTTCCACGCAAATTTAGAGGTTTTTAGATTTTTTAAAACACCGTTTTGGATGTTTTTTGTCAAAGAAAAGTGGCAACACTGGTCGCAAGTGTGGGTTGTTCAAAGTATAAGCATGCTGTCGTGTGCTGATCTATGCTTTCGTTTTCGTTTGTGTGTCGTTCTGCTTTTTTTCTTTCTATCTGTGTGAGAATATAAAACCCTGTGTCAGTGCAAGCTCTATCTTAGTTAGCACAGACCCCAACCCCCCCCCCTATCTCTCTCTCTCTCTCTCTCTCTCTCTCTCTCTCTGCGAGCATATATGTGTCTCTGTATGTGTGTCCGCAGGTGTGCCTGTGTGTCCATGTGTGTATCTGTATGCAGGCAATCCTGTATGCATGTATTTTTTTAAGCATCCAGAAACCATGAGTTGTTCACCCTTTGGCTCGGTACTATGGATATCTCAACCCTTCGGCCTTGATTCCATGATAGATACCGTACATCTGGGTGAAATGTGGCTTTTCTGCCTAGCCCTGGGCGTGAACCCAGACCACGAGGACTTCGTCACCCGGTCGCCGCGAAGTCAGGTTTCGCCAACTACGCTAGCGAGCCGAGCGTATGCATGTATATATGTATGTATGTGGGTGTGTATGTGTGTTTGAGCAAGTAAGTGGGCGTGTATATGTAGGTGTGTGTGTGTGTGTGTGTGTGTGTGTGCGCGCGCGTGTGTGCACATAATTTTTTACCACCTACGCTTTTATGTCTTTTCTTCTTGAAAGAGCTATGCGAATACACACCACACACAACAGACACACACAAACATATATATGTATATATATATATATATATATAATATATATATATATATATATATATATTTATTGAATTTATTTATTTACACACACAATATATGTATACACAACATACATATATACATATATAGATATATACATAGATACACACACACACACACACACAACATATATATATATATATATATATATATATATATATATATATATATAGATATACAATAATACACACACATATATACATATATAGATTTATATACAAACATATAGATACACACACACACACACACACACACACACACATATATATATATTTGTATATAAGAGCAACAGGTGTGTCGGTTTGGAAAGTGGACGAAAATATCCTGGTACCAACAACCACAGGGAGCTACGGTGAAGAAATATAATGAACACAGAGCAAGGGTAACACCGATGGCGTCACGGACAGCATTAGGGGAATAAAGAACAGCTTACTGCAGAGAGCATACAGCAGACCCAAACATGGCCCCCACCCACGATGTAGTAAATTGAAGAGAAGAAGAAGAAGAAGAAGAAGAAGAAGAAGAAGAAGAAGAAGAAGAAGAAGAAGAAGAAGAAGAAGAAGAAGAAGAAAAAGAAGAAGAAGAAGAAGAAGAAAAACGAGAAGGAGGAAGTGATAAAGAAGATATGTTCATTCAAGTCATATCTGTGCTGGTGGGAAGATTCGAACACAAAACCTGTCGTTCGGCAGCCAAGCCTGCCATTTTCTGCTCTATCTCCGTTGAGTGGTAGGCACAATCACATTTGAATATAATAAACAGATTTCGTGGACTTACGAAGTAAGAAACCTGTGCACTTACACGTCTCGTGGCTGCCCTCCGGTCGTGTTCAAGCATCTATCTTAGCAATACGACACAGCTTCTAAATGTGCGACATCAGATATGTTCTCCCATGTGCCATCGGTACAGACTCGTTTTAACTTCTGAACCACAGTCACCGTTTTTTTAAATATTTATTGATTTCTTTAAGAAACACTTCCGTGTGATCGAGTCTGTATGGTTTGCATTTCTACGATTCAATAGTGCAAAGAATCCGTGTGTGTTTGTGTGTTTGTGTGTTTGTGTGTGTGTGTGTGTGTTTGTGTGTTTGTGTGTTTGTGTGTTTGTGTGTGTGTGTGTTTGTGTGTTTGTGTGTGTGTGTTTGTGTGTTTGTGTGTTTGTGTGTGCGTTTGTGTGTGTGTGTTTGTGTGTTTGTGTGTTTACGTGTGTGCACTCTCGTACAGGTCATGCGTGTTTCGTTAGAATAACTCTCTCCCTCTGTCACTCCTTTCTCTCTCTTTCTCTCTCTCTCTCTCACTCCTTCACTCTTTCTTCATTTCTCTTCTCCCCCTCTTTCCTTCTCTCTTTCCCTCTCTCCCCCTCTTTTTCTCTCTCACTCCTTCACTCTATCTTCAATCCCCCCCCCCCTCTCGCTGCCTCTCTTCCTCTCTGTCTCTTGCCCGCTCTGACTGTAGTGTGTGTGTGAGTATCTGTGTAATCTGTCAACTGTCTGTAGTGTTTGTGTAGGTATCTGTGTACTCTCGTCACCTGTCTGTAGTGTTTGTGTGAGTATCTGTTGTACTCTGTCACATGGTCTTGTAGTGTTGTGTGAGTATCTGTGTACTCTGTCACCTGTCTGTAGTGTTGTGTGAGTATCTGTGTACTCTGTCACCTGTCTGTAGTGTTGTGTGAGTATCTGTGTACTCTGTCACCTGACTGTAGTGTTGTGTGAGTATCTGTGTACTCTGTCACCTGACTGTAGTGTTGTGTGAGTATCTGTGTACTCTGTCACCTGACTGTAGTGTTGTGTGAGTATCTGTGTACTCTGTCACCTGACTGTAGTGTTGTGTTGGTATCTAAGTACTCTGTGACCTATATGTACTGTTGTGTTGGTATCCAGGTACTCTGTGACCTGCCTGAACTGTTGTGTGGGTATCGACAGTTGCTCGAGTCGACTCCCTGCCTTGAAGTATACCTGATATTATCGAATAAATGGAATGATGCAATGACATTTGTGTATTCTCTTACTTTTGTTTTAACATGCTCTGGTCTGTAATTGTTTCCGGTTCTTTATAAATATCCTACCCCAGATGACGTCACATGACAGTCCAACATTTTAGATGCTAGTAAAACTGGGTTTCACGGCTTTCTGATAATTTTAA